AGGAGCGCCCGGAGGCGCAGGTGAGGGTCTTGGTGGACTGACGGGAGAGCAGGGGGCGCCATCGGGGGTCTTCCGAGGCCCCGAGAGGTGGGCAGGACGGCGGGCGAGCAAGAAGCAAGGAGCGGGAAGAAGGTAAGGAACACACACAAATTTTTCTTGCCCCCGGTTGAAAAGGAGTGTCTCAACACCCAAAGATGACAACATAGACAGCCACTGGGAAATTTTTAGCACTCTTCTACAAGCTCCGAAATATTTCACCCGCAAATTTTTCTCCTGAATGCTTTGCATTTTGCTCGGAATTCAGTTTTCTGCCCATGCGCACACAAAAAAGCTTTCCTTCCCAAAGGCGGGAAACACATGATTCTTGTGATCTTGCCCATCTAGGGACGACGCTTTTCAAAACAGTTTGAAACCAGTAATAATTAAAGAAGAAAAACAAACCCACAAACAAACCCATATCCTCATTTGTCCAGAGATTCGCCCAGCATCGAGGGGGAAAATTATGGGGGGGGGGTGGTTTGCTGTTTTTTCAAATTTTTTTGGAATAGCTAAGGATCAAAGAGGGTGCTCACCTGAAGGGATATCCTGATTGGGGGTGCTCTCTTTCAGATAGTAGATCAGCCGATCTGGTTTGAGTTTGAGATATTCGACCAGCTTTTGGGACAATTCGAAGAGAGAGAAAAACAAGTTTAAGAAAAAGGGGACAGGAAGGCAAAGGAGAGTCAACCCTAAAGGAAGCATTGATTAAACCCAGCAGTCAGTTTTACTTGCCGACTTCTTATTTTCCATTTCTTTCTTCTGAAGAAATCTCCTTAGAAGTAACCATGACGAAAATGGAACTTAAATGAAAACTTTCTACTCATGTAGGAGATGTAAGCTTTGTCCATCTCCGGAGAGATTAGACAAGCCGGGAATAGAGAGATTCCAGAGCTCAGTGCATTCCAATGTAGCTAAGATGAGCCCAATCTCAGCCAGGCAACTACACTGAACTCCTTCCTCAAGTTTACGCCCTTGATAAAGAACCAGTAAGAACCACAACATAAACCATGAGTCAGAACTCAGGTAAATTATGGGCTCAAGGTAGCGAATACGTGGCCAAAAATTAGGTAGCAAATTAATGATTCAAGCTGTTCTGTTCAAGAGACCAAAACATGAGCTCTTAAGCATTATTGTTTTTATTAGAAAAATATAGATTTAGAAAGAATTCAGTTTATTGCATAGCAAAGCATTTAGTAACATTTCCAAACAAGTCATTAGAACACTCAACAAACTTCAGCTAGAAAATTAAAATAATGAAATGAATACTAATCTATATGAAAGGCTAGGCCTTCCTTCTCTTAAGTAAACTACATTCTTACGTATTCAGGAATTCCATAGTCCATCAGAAATTGCCCAGTCCATTGTAGTCCATCAAGTCTCCATCCATGTTAAGGAAAACCACTCAAATCCATGTTAGGAAAAAGGGCCTCTCTCTGTCTCAGAAACTCTGCATTTTACAGCCCACGGTTCCATTACCCCCTTCTCCTTCTTCCTGAGGAAAACCAATCAGGAACAAGTAAAAAGTGTCTTGTCCC